AATCTCCTCGTTCATGGCGGCCTTCACAGCCTTGCCCTTCCAGCTCGCCAACGCCTCCTTCACCGTCATCGTTGCGATGTCCCAGCGGTGCTCGGGGTCGGCATGCATGTCGGGGTCGAGCTCTGGCAGGTCGACGTCGGCGTCTTCGTCGTCGAGCAGCGTGGTGTAGGCGGCCGACGGCAGACACACGTGGTAGGTCAGGAACTCAGGCGGCCTCCGAAGTCGGCCTGAATGTCGCAGCCCAGGCTCCTCGGCATTGACCTCCACCACGTCGCTGTCGGTGGACTCCTCACCCCCCGACTGCTCCCCTGCACCAGCGCCGGCTTCACTGTCCTCTCCGGCCATCTGCACCAAGGTCGGCTGCGTGGCCGACTTCTCCCCGTCGTCGGCTCCCCTGCCGGCTGCCCAGTCGGCTTCACTGCAGGCTGCTCCCCTGTCGGCGGCTTCCCTGCCGACTGCCCGGTCGCCGACAGCTCCCCAGTCGGCTTCTCGACAGCCCGCTGCTCCCCTGTCGTCGGCGGCTTCCCTTGCACACCGACTTGCTGGACGTCACGTCGGCCACCGGCGATGCGCTTGGCCGGCGCCACAGGCGACGCCCCACTGCTCCCCTCATCGCCGGAGGCCGACGTCGGTGTCAGTTCATGCAGGTCGGCTACAAGGGGTGGGACAGGAGGGGCAGGGGAAGGTGAAGGGAAAGGAGGGAGGACGTCCTCTGCGTCCTCATCAGCCAGCTCACCAACCTCGGTGAGCAAAGGGAGTGTCGCCGTCGAGGTGTCCGTCGGCGGGTTGACATGCGTCCGCCCCGACGCCGACCCGTGCTCCGACTTCCACACCTCCAGCGACATGGTCTTGTAGAACGCCACGTCCGACGTGGTGACCACCCTGTTGTCGGTGAGGTTGAGGAGCTCCCATCCCTTGCTCTCTTCCGACACACCGAGGTGAAGGCCCCACCTGGCCTTCGGCTTCAGCTTTCCACCGCGCTGCAGCTCGGGGACCAGGAACTGCGCCATGCAGCCCCACACACGGGCCAGCGTCAGGTCTGGCTTCTTGCCGGTCAGCAGCTGATACGGCGTCGTCCCCGGCGGCAGCGTCGACCTCTGCAAGCAGTTGCGGACCCAGACGGCCTGCCGCAAGGCAAGGTGCCACCAGTGGTGCTGCACACCCATGTGCAGCAGCATCGTCCTCACCGACTCAACCACCGTCTGCATCTCCCGCTCTGCCATGCCGTTCTGCTGCGGGGTGTACGGGCAGGTCAAGTCATGGATGATGCCCTTGCCGTCCACGAAGTCGGTGAACTGCTTCTCGCGGAACTCCCCTCCGCGGTCAGAGCGCAGCATCAACACCGACTTCTTCGTCTGCCGCTCAGCAACCAGAAGCCACTTCTCGAACTCCCGCAGAACGTCAGACTTCTTGGCGACCGGCCTCACCCACACGTAGCGGGTCTTTCGGTCCTTCAGCAGCAAGAAGTAGAGGCTGCCATCCTTGGCGGCCACCCGGAACGGCCCGCACAGGTCGATGTGCACGACGGCCAAGGCGTCGTCGGCGTCCGAGCCCTTGTCGGGGAAGGTGTGCCGCGCCAGTTTCCCGCCGACGCACGAGACACACGGAGAGTCGGTGCCGGCCGACGGCTTGATGTCCAGGCCGGTGGCGACCTCGTGCTTCGCCGAGCTTGTGATGGTGTCGACGCCGACATGTGCAAGCCTCGCGTGCCACCTGTCCGGCGTCGACTTCGTCGCCGAGACGATCGCCCGCAGAGCCACCACCTCCGTCGTGGCCGTCATCGACTTCGTCGAGCAGGGTCGGTGCAGAGAACCCGGCCGGTGAATGTCGCCCGACCGAGAACGTCCCCCGCCGCCGAGACGAGCAGCATCCCGTCACCGTCGTTCAGCAGCTTCACGCCGCTCTCCTTCAGCTGGCCGACTGACAGCAGGTTCGCCTGCACACCCGGGACGTAGAGCACGTCGGGGATGAGCACCTGCTTCCCGGCCTCTCCTTGCAGAGCGACAGTGCCACGGCCCTGGACGTCCCGCAGAGCCCCATTGAAGCCGCGCACGTGCTTGACGTCGCCGCTCGGCCCCAAGTCGACGAATGCCTCCTCGTCCCCATCAGGTGGTGCGAGCAGCCGTTGTCGAGCAGGACCACCGCCTGCACGGCTGCCGCCACTGCCTGGAAGTCGTCGCCGGCCTCCGGTGCCAGCGAGACGGTCGGCTCCACGACGCCGACCAGCGAGCACGACGCCTCGCCGTCGCCTCGCCCCTTGCCGCCAGAGGAGGAATCGGCGTCCTTCGCCGACGTCGACTTGGTCGACTGCTTCTCCTTGCGCGGATTGCTCTCCAGACGTGGGCGACGACCGGCCGACCTCCCTCGGCCTCCCTTGGTGTCGTCGTCGTCGGAGTCGTCGCGGTCGGGGCACTCGAAGGAGAGGTGGTCGGGGTCGCCGCACAGCCAGCACTCCCGCCGTCGTCCTCCTCCTCTACGACCGCTATCCTTGGCCGACTGCTGCTTGTCGACGTCCTTGGCCGGCCTCCCACCTCCGCTACCACCGCCGCCAGGCTTGCCACGCTGCCCCGGTCGACTTCCTTGCTTCGTCGAGGCGACGTAGTTCGCCTGCGGAAGGAGCTCCGTGGACCTCTCGGCCTCCTGCATCGCCTCGTCCCAGAGGATGTACTAGGTCAGCGAGTCCTCGTTGAGCGACTCCTGTGTGCCCGGCACCACCAGCAGTCGGCGCATGAGGTTGTAGCCGCTCGGGAGTCCCTTGACGACGTGCGTGATGTACGACGCCGTCGAATACTGGACGCCGGCCATCCGCATGCTCACAAGAAGCCGCAAAGCCCGGTTGCAGTAGTCGGTCGCCGTCTCCTGCTCGCCCATGCGCAGGTGCGTCATCTGCTCCTCCAGCTGGCCGATGTACAGGTCGTCGGTGACCTGGTACGTCGACGTGATGAACTGCCACGCCTGGTGGTCGGCGTGGAAGAAGCTCCGGCTCGACTTCAGGGCGATCTGCACCACTGGCGAGCAGCACCGCGAGATGACAATGAAGGTCAGCAGGTGCACGGCTCGGAACTCTGCACGCAGCTCGGCGTTGGACTATGGCGGCGTCTCCACGCTGCCGTCGGCGAAGCACATTAGGCCGGCCATCTCCAGCTGAGGCTCGATGGCCTCCTTCCATGTGAGGAGGTCATGTCGACCTACCAGCAGCACGGGGACGGTGATCTTGTCCGGCGTGAACTTGAAGTAGCCGTACGTCGGCGCTATCCCGCCAGCCGTCAAGTGGGTCGCCGAAGCCGGCGTCACACTACTTCGACGTCCTCCGACGTCGCCTTGCGAGGTGCCTGCAGCCGCCGACGACTGCTGCCCTCGTCCCTGAACGCCGCCGACTTCACCGACGCGAATCACTCCTCTCTGCCTCGACGTGCCTCCCGCACCGCTGCCGACTTGATCGCCGCCGTCGACGCCCACGCCGACGCCGCCTTCGTTCCGTACCAGTCGAGGAGAACCTGGTCGGGAAGGGTGCTCCGTCGCCCACTTTGCGCGGATACCCAGCTCGACGACTTCCAAGGGGAGGCTCGGCCCGAACTCGCCATCCTCGTGGCGTCTCCTCGCATCAGCCAGCCGTGTTTCCAAGGTGTCCACTACGCCCGCGTCAACTTCGGGGCCAACCATGGTAGTGCGAACCTAAGTCGGCTAGACTAAAGGTAAGTCGCGGTGCCGTCCACGCTCACCGCACCATGCGGAAATACCTACTTCAACGGGAGCTAGACTACGGGGAAGGCACGGTTGAGTGAGTGTCGTAGCGTTCCTTGGTCGTTCTCTGGCACTTACATGTTCACGGGGCAAAACAGCAAGAGTTTCACTAGAGAAGGTTTACAACAATGATAGCAACAACATTGGCAACAAAGACTACATCAGATGCTAGCATGCAAGCAGGTCGACTGCCAGTCCAGCGCAGCACGGTCGACCGCGTTCCAGCACTGCAAGGTCGACCGCGCTCCAGCAGTGCAAAGTCGCGGTCTGCCAACGCTGCAAGTCGACGGCGTGCCAACGCTGCAGCAAGGCGGCTGCACAGCGTTGCACCCGCAGGACAGCAGCGCACCCGCTTCGCAGGTGCTCGCAGCTGGTTGGCGTGCCGTGCCCCGTCACGTGCACAGCGCAGACGCCAATCCGACCACGTGCCCACGACTGCACCTGATCCGCCATGTCGACCTCGGGATACCACCACCGAGGTCGGCTTCGCCAGAACCACCTGTGCGACTGTCGCGCTCCTCCGCTGAACCCCATCGCCCGGGTAACCTGGTCGACCGGGCAACCACGTCGACCAGCTGCTACTTCTCGTGCCCGTCGACCACCCAAGTCGACGACCACCACCGGTCGACCACACCAGGTCGACCACACTCCCGGTCGACCAGCTCCAAGTCGACCAGCTCAGCTGTCAGCTGACCACACCAAGTCAGCTTCCCCAGGTCGGCGCCACCAAGTCGACGCCCTCCTCTGGTCGACCTACCAGGTCAACCTCCCGTCAAAGTCGGCGCCCTCCCCAGGTCGACGTCTCCCCTTGTCGACCACCAGGTTGAAGACGGCCGCCGGCTCCCCCAAAGTCGGTGGCTTTGCAGTGGCCTCGTGCAGGTCGACCATCCCGTCGACCAGCTCGCCCAAGTCGGCGTCGCCAACTGCTGCAGGTCGGCTGCGCTACCCGCACACCCGACAACGAAGTCGGCTCCGCCCAAGCGAGGACGGGGCCAACACACAAATCCGCGCCCCAAAGTCGACTCACAAGTCACCTGGTGAAGGCACAACACGCACCACTGACATCACATTGTTGGGCTCGAGGACGCCATGCACCTTCCATTGTGTCTACAGTCAAATTTTGAAGTCAGTTGGTAGGGCACCCACGCACGCATGGCAGCATGAATGTGAGGGCAAGGCAGGCACCTTACAGGTGGATCCGAGCAGCACATTGCAGAGGTTGAAGTACCTGGGCATGGATGGCGTGGCTCTTGAGTTCACTCACTAGGGCATACCAGCAGGACGGGAATTGAAGGCAACTTACGCACCTCAAAGGACGGCCCGAGCAGCACGTTGGAGGGCTTGAGGTCGCCATGCACCTGCCAGTGGCTCTGCACTGCCTTGAGCGCCCTCAGCACGCCCACTGCTATGCCCACCCGCTGCTGCAGCGACAAAGGCGTGGCACCTGGCAGTGGAGTTAAGATATGGATGGACATGGCAAGAGGTCGGTGCAATGGGGCAGGCGTGAGGTGCTGTTGTGAGACTAGGCAGGAGGAGAGGATGGGTTGGGTACAAGGGAGTAGTGAGGGCAAGTGGTAAAAGCGACTTGTGAGTTTGTCTTAGTGCTTAAATGACATCACATGCCACATATGTTAAAATTAGGCTACCAAGATTGTGTACTCTATTCGTAGTTTAGGTGCACCTCTATTATCCCAACCTTAAGCAGCTGGGATTCTTTCGTGATTCAACCAATCTGCCAACTCAACATTAGAAATTTGGTTGGATTCCCATCCCATCCTCTCCCTTCCCTTCCACTAAACCAAGCTTCCTTTTGAAATATCAATCCAAGCTTAATTTCTGACACAATGGAGCACACCTGGCTGCAGTGCTGCCTCCAAGCTTCCCCGCTCCATCCACTTGTATACCAGCACCAGCTCATTCCCCCCCTCCTGCTGGCTCCCTCTCTTCTCCCTCTCCTCCTGCTTCCCTCCATCCTTCTCCCCCTTCTCATGCTTCCACCTCGCCCGCATGCCCTCCTCCTCCTCACCTTTCAACCACCCTCTCCCGTCGCCCTCCCCAACTGCCACTTTATTCTCGCCCCACCCACATGCCTCCTTCTCCCCGCCCTCCCTCTCTGCCTCCCCCCCTTCTGCAGGGCAGCAGCACCAGCCCACGAGAGCCAGCACGTTTGGGTGGACAAGGCGAGCCAAGCCCGCCACATGAGCCTCAAACTCCGCCCTCTCTGCCTCATGCGTCCCCCCCCTCATGCGCTTCACTGCCCACTTGTCCCCCGGCCTCCCCCCCTTCCACACCTTTCCCCCTGACAACTGCTTGCCTTGTGACCCTTCCCCCTTGTCGCCCCCCTCCTTCCCCTTCCCCCCCCCCCACACCTCTCTTCCTTGGTGCTTCTTCTTTCCTGTTCCCCCCCCATCCTTCCCCCCATCCTCCCCCCCATGCTTCTCCCCATCCCCCCCCTCCACCTCCTCCGTCCATTCCCCCAGGTACACATCACTCCACCTGCCTCCCCCAACCCTCCGCCCTTCCGCCCACCCAATGGTGACTCTGAGGATGTCAGCAAGTGGAACGCGCGGGCAGGCGGGTGAGCGCTTAAGCAAAGGTGTGGCTGGAAGGGGGAAGGTGGAAAGGGCAGGAAAAAGGGAAACAGGGGGCGGGGGGGGGAGAATGAAGGGGAGGAATGAGCAGGGAGGATGAGTGAGAAAGGCGCAGAGGAGAGTTTTGTTGAGGGAGGAAGGGGCGTTTGGTGATAAAGGGGTGTTGAAAAGGCAGGAGAGGAGGAGATGGGTAGGGGAATGAGGAAGAGGGCCAAAACGCCCCACACACTCACACAGCTTTCCCCAACCATGCACACCACATGCCAAACACGTTGCATTAAAAGTTTCAGCTATCACGCCATCGTGCAATCATGTCATGCCATACACGCTCAGAATATCCCCTTTCTCCCCCCTTCCTCCCCACTTACCCTCCCCAGTCTGCTCCCTCCCCTTCCTCCACCTCAGTACCCCCCATACCACCGCCACCACCACCACTAGCAGCACCACCACTGCACCCACTACTGCCCCCGCAATTGTGGACGGTGGGAGGGAGAAGGGCGGCGGGGGAGGAGGAGAAGGAGGGGCAAGGAGGACGTTGATGATGGGGGGAGGAGGCGGGGGGAAGGGGGATGGCGGAGGAGGGGGGGAAGAAGGGGGAGGCGGACTGGGGATTGGTACTGTGGGGGGAGGGGGGTTGGGATGGGGGAAAAATGGTATGGGAGGGAGGATGGGATGTGATGGAATCCGAGAATGGAAGGGAAGGTTGGGAGGAATTTGCGGGGAATGCTGGAGGGCAAATTTGCGGAGCGAAAACGTGAGAGGTGCATGCACTTTTTAGTAGACTCAACAATCGGAACAGCATTGCAAGGATCCACGTGATGTGATGTGACCGTGACAGTGCTAGGTGCATGATTGGGACGATCCTGACCATTGATTGGGATACACAAGGAGCAGAACGTTGAACAGAACTTGCAAAACGGGGATGAATGGCTCTGATTGATCTCACAGCTTCTGCCGTACGTTGGGCAAATTAGCCCTGAAAACTGACTGAGAGAGAGCAGGGGCAGGTGGAGGATACATGGGGGCGGATGGGGAAGAGAACAAGTGGTGAAGAATACTTTATGTAAATGCATAAACATAAGTGATATTCACCAGTGGCCTACCTTGAATGCAGTTCTCTTGACTCATTTGATTTGAACTGTCACTTAAGAGAGGGATATGAATGAATGTAAGCTCTTGTTTTAATCTTTACATATTCTCAAACATTGAAGCGATAATGGGTTGGAATGAGAAAGTTGCGAAGGGGTGACGGAGAAAGAGAGGTTTGCGCGGAGATATTTGAAAGAAGAGCAGGAAAGAAGGGCATGAGGATAAACGAAAGAAGAGGACGAAATCACACAATGAGATATGTTGTAAGCTTCCATAAGTGGGGGGTATGGTTCCACTAATATTCGTGCCGTACAAGTAACTGTATGAGATGGGGTTTGGCAAACGGAGAAAGCACAGGACACCGGGGGGCAGCAGGGGGAGGGTTAGAGGAGGGACGGGGGGGAGGATGAATGAGAGCAATGACAGAACGGTAGGGAAGGTATGGGTTGAAACAACACTTGTTGGATGAATGGGTTGGAAGCGATGGCATGCGGTTGAGATGGCAGGAACTAGAAGCGAAACGACACTGAGATGTAGAAATGGCAGGAAGGGTGCAGAGGGGCGGAGAGAGGTGCAGGGAGGGACGGAGAGAGGGGTGTAGTTGGTGGGGAGGGGCGCAGAGGGTGGGGAGGGGCGCACATGGTATTGAGTTGGGTGAGTGCAGTGAGGAAGCGAGGCGGCTTGCCCGAAATGGCTGTGTCCCCCAGCAAACTGGGGGAGGGAGAGGGAGGGGGTGTTACATTTGCGTTCATACTTGCCTACAATGAGTTAGCGTTTTCGATCTGACTAATTTCTGACTGCCCTAGGAGACTGCAAGATTTGTTTTGAGGTATTGCATCTCACTCAATTAAGTGATTACATCTGCGACACTGACTTAAAACATCTGACAGTGGACGTCAATATTCTCTCAGCACGAAGGCTCCTCCAGCGTCTCAATTCTCAGGGGAATCTGATGCTTGGTTGTCCTCACCAATAAAAGCAAAGCAACCACAGTCCATGACTTGCCAATAACATAACTCCTCGGATCTCATAGTGTGCCGGCTCCGTTTTTCCCAGAAAATACCCTTTTCACCTGCCCGGCCAATTTTACACGTAAACACGTTTACTTGTAAATTTGTGTTTGCATAACCTAAAAAACGTAAGAAAGCAGGGGAGGATGATGAAACAAGGAGGGGAGAAGGGAACGTGACAGAGGAGGGAGATGAGGACGGCAAACAAATCAGGGAGGCATAAGGGTACATTCGTAGCCCGTGTCAGACATCAGGTCAGACCCGAAGTGGAGGCTCGGAAGACCCGAAGTGGGTCGTTTGTGAGGCAAATCCGAGTTCGGATGAGCCAAATTGGAGACTAAGGGCTTTTGACCTGAAGTCTGACACGGGCCACGAATGTACCCTAAGGCATTGTTGCAGCGTAGGCAGTAGCACGGGGTGTGCTATGAGGCTGTGAGGGGGAGGACAGCGAAGAGAGGGGGAGAGTTAGAGAGAGTTGAACGCGAAAGCATAGGGGGAGGAAAAGGAAGAGAAAGGGGGGAGGGAGGAAGAGGAGAACGGAGGCCAGCGGCAGAGGCGGACGAGAGTGAGGCGGAGGAGAGAGAGGAGGGGGCAGTCGATTGGATACTTAGAAAAGTGCAGCATAGCGGCTGCAGTAGAATACCCACTGCTGGAGGCAGTGGGTGAGGCTCCGTCCCTAGGGGACTGCCTCTCGGTCCTTGATCCTGCGCTGGACCTAGCTTAGGAAGGGGGGGGGGGGGGGGGAATGGTAGAAGAGTGGTAAGAGGCTTTATGCACCAGACTCACAAAAGCTACCACCTTACATGCCTGTAAGTCCTATGATAATCAATGAAAGGGCCATTCGAGGAGGGGGTGGCAGGGTGCATGAGGGGGTGCTATAGGAGGCGGTGCAAGGCAGAGTGATGAGAGGGGGTGCAGAGGGGTGAAGAGTCAAATCGTATTAGAGGGTGGAAGGGGGGTGATCGGGGGAGAGGAGCGGACGGGTGTGGGGAGGAGGAGCGGACAGGGGGAGGGGGGGGAGGGGATGCTGACAGCTGTAGGAGGGTGGTGAGGTGGGAGAGAGCGCGAGGAAGTGAACCCGAGAGGTAGGGGTTCTGACCCAGCGACCTGCCGTGCAGTACAGTGCGGGTGGGGTGGGGAGGGCAAGGGAGGTGGTACGAGTGGGGAAAGGGGGTGATAGGGGCGGGGATGGGGGTTGGCAGGGGTGAGGAGGGGGGGGTGGAAGGGGTTGGGAGGATTGCCCTTCACGTTTTTTGTTTCCCATGCTCTTGACTTCGCATTTTGACCTCTCCACCAGCACCACAGCCGCAAGACCAAGAGCAGCAGCGCAGCAGAGGGGCGCAGACAAGCAAGAACTTAGAGCAGTAAGGACGAGATGCACATGCGCTAGAGGTGCTTGCAAACCACACAGGCGTCTAGGGTTTACGTCTTTATCTAGAATATTTAAAATTAATAAGAACATAAAACAAGGAAGAGGAGGGGTTGTTTGTGTAACTTACAGGTACGAAATGCGAGAGAGGCCAGAGATGGTGGCGGGGATGCTTCCTGAGATGTTGTTGTGTGACGCGTCGCTGATGGTGCCAGTGCCACATGCACGACGCAAGCACGTACGCACAAGGAACATGTGCAAGCAATGGGTCAGACACATGAGATGAGAGGGAGACAAGCGATGAGAGGAAGAGTGAGGAGGCAAGTGCAGTGATGACACACAGGCGTGTACGCTTTTATGTTTTATCTAGAAGATAAATAATTAAAACATCATAAAACGAGGAAGAGGAGGGGTTGCTTGTGCAACTAACAGGTACGAAAGGCGAGAGAGGCCAGAGATGGTGGCGGGGATGCTTCCTGAGATGTTGTTGTATGACGCGTCGCTGATGGAGTGCCACATGCACGACGCAAGCACGTACACACAAGGAACATGTGCAAGCAATGGGTCAGACACATGAGATGAGAGGGAGACAAGCGATGAGAGGAAGAGTGAGGAGGCAAGTGTTGTGATGCCATGGCAAGAGGGAGACACTGTCGAGTCAGTTCCAACGAAATGTTTTTGGAACAGTTTTAGGACACTATTCGTGGGGGCTGGTCAAATGCTCTGTTCGGAGCATTGATGTGGCCACGTGGCGGCTCCATAAACCCTAAACCTTAACCTAAACCCTAAGCCCTGCGAAACAAGTCCCTAAATGTCACGTCGACAAAATTTAGGGTTGGAAAAGGGCCCCGAGTCCCTTTGTGCTTTTGTGTTAGTGTTCATTCTGGTAGAATATGATATCCGAGAAAACACAGAAATAAAAAAGAACAATAAAAAACTTCCACTTGCGAGTATTGCGATTTTCTGCCTATAGTTGATTGGTCGTATTTTAAGACCTTTGGTGCATTAATATTGTGCGTCCGAGCTGTATCTAGCTGCTATCGTAGTGGAATTGTACAGATGAAGCCTATGTGACAGAAAACGCGTTCAGCGTTTTGAACGCTGGCGTTTAAACGCAGCGTTTAAAACGCTGAACGCAGAATGGTTCGTTCCTGAAACGCAGAAAAAACGCAGGGGCGGGCAGGGTAAAAAAAACGTGCAGGCAGGCCAAAAAACATCTCACAGGGCATTAGGAGGTGGGGGAGATGGACATAGGACGTCATTGGGCAAAAAAAAAAAAAAAAAAACCACATAAAAATACTCTCCTAAAGGTCACAAATGGTCACAATGTTACTTAATCACATAGGACTAAGCAAACTACAGCATGCACAACATCTAGGCCTCCTCCCCGTCCTTCTCGGCCTCCTCCTCATCCTCCTCGTCCTCCTCGTCATCCTCCTCATCCACGCACAAGTCGTCCTCATCCACCTCCACCTCCCCATCCTCCTCCAACTTGTAGCCCTCCGGGAGGCGGGGGGTGGGAATGTTTCCTCCACGATCCCCCCCTTCCTTCCCGCCCCACTAGGCCCTGGAACAGCCGCACCCTTGTGGTGGTTGTGCACAACATTCCAGTTGTGCGCAACGAACACAAGGTCGCGCACCTTCTCCGACCCGAGCCTGTTCCTGCGCGCCGTGTGCACGCCGTCCCAGGTGGCCCAGCCCTGCTCGCACGGGGAGGCGGAAACGGGCTGGGACAGCGCACGGCACGCAAGGTCAGCCAGGTCCTTGTACTCCCAGCCGTGATACTGCCACCATGCCAGCGCGCAACCCTTCCCCTCCTGCAGCTCCGCACGCCCCGCTTTCGCCTCCTCCGTCCCGAAGCACCCCGTACCGTTGATGTAAACCAACATCCCCTCCTGCAATGGCTTGCGCGGCCCCTTCTCCTTCCAGTACTTGTCGACGAACAACTTCGAGCGGGCGAGCCACTCCTTCATCACCTTGGTGCACTCGACATCAGCCAGGAAAATCTCATCCCCCTGGTTAACCGGATTCTGAATCCTGCCAGCCACGTGGAGAGCGCATGCCAAGCTGCCGTCCCAGCGCTCGTGCAAGTGCTCCTGCACCTCGTCCCTCTCCGCCTCGGTCAGCCGACAAACGGCGCCCTCCAGAAGCGCAGTCAACTCCTCCGTCAGTTGCAGCATGATGTCGTAGATCGCTCCCATCATCCCCTTCTTATCCGAGTCCGTCCGCCTCATCACCCCAAACGGCAGCTCCATGACCCGCACAAAGAGCTCCGCCTTCTTCCACCACGGCCCATCCATCACCCACTTCTCGAACTGTTGCACTGTCACCTTCTTCCCCTTGTCCTCCTTCCAATCCTTGTGCACCACCATCTGCAGCAGAGCCGGGCGAAGCTCGCAAAGACGATACACAGCGATGTACTGCGACCCAAAACGCGTGCCCGCCGGGCGCAACGCCTGCAGCGCCTTCCCGCCGTGCAGCTCGGTACTCCTCATGTAGGCGCGTGTCTACTGGTGAATGCGGAGAAACGCGATCATGTCTGCCGAGCGACCGACCACTTCCTCCGCCCAGTCCATCTTGCCGATGTCCTCCATCAGCAAGTCCAACACGTGGGTGGCGCAGGGAACGATCTCAATATGCGGCCACTCGCGCTGCAGCAGCGTGCCGGCCACCTTGTAGTTGCTGCCACCGTCCGTGCAAATCGCGACGACGTTCTCCGGCCCGATCTTCTTGATGATAGGACGGAGGATGCCGGCCACGAACGCGCCCGTCTTCGTTTCCATGAGGCAGTGAACCGCCTCCCAGAAGACCGCACCAGCATCGTTGAGGCACATAATGTTCATCTGCGCGCGCCCGCTCGTGTCCTGCATCATGTCGCTCGCAATCGTCACGCCCATCTTCGACCAAGTCGCGGTAATAGGCTCCAAACCCCTCTCCACGCGCTTCTTGCACTCCAGCAGTCCGACGCCACCGACAAAGCCACGCTTGGGGGGAACGTAGCTCGTCCCTGTGGCGCCGACGGCGCGAAACATGTTGAGGAAGAGGGGGTTCTCGCACTGACGCTCCGCCGTACGCGTCCCCGCGAAGTAGTGGCAAATTGCCTCGTCGGCGGCCCGCTTCGCCGAGAGTCCCTCCTCTCCGTAGAAGTCCTCCATCCTCCCGCGTTTCGCCTTCCCCTGCTGCGCCGAACCCTTGCCGCTCACTGCAGTGAGTGCCGCATTCTCAGCCTTGTCCTTATCCTTGCGCCCCTTAAGCTTCCCCTCCATCATCTCTTTAATGCCTTTGGAAATTGGCTTCGGCACCTTGTCGCAAATGTCCCCTATCTCGCGGTGGTTGTTCGGGTCGAACCATTCGGCGAGGTGAGAGGCGCAACGCCCTGCGTTAAAGCTAAACTTCTTCTTGCGAAACAAGCACTTCGCCTGTTTCACCTTCTTATCCGGAACCTTGAAGAAAACGTAATGCTTGTAGATAATGTGCTCAGGATGTGCCGAAACTTCACCCCCTTCTTCCATGGATGCGGGTGCGGTACTACCCTCCTTGACGGGGCCAACATGATCTCCATCGTCCGAGGAAACCCTAGAAGAAACCATGGTGTAGTGGCTTGGCTTGCTAACGAAGTCCTCAACCCCTAGGGTTTTCGAAAGAGAATTTGTGAAACCTCAAAAATGAGGAGCACAATGAAGGCATTGTGCTCCTTAACAATTGTGGAGGTGGGCCACAATGGTTGGATGTTACGGTTGTAGAGTGGTTGAGTGAGTTTGTGGCATCAAATTTGGATGGGGGGTTAGGGAGTTTGGTTGGGGGGTTAGTTGTAGGGGCTGATTTCGGTTGGGAGGGGTATCAATTTCTCGTCAGTGACATCAGCGTCGAAATCGCGAATGTCAAATTTGGGGGAGCGGATTTTTTTTTTTTTTCGTTCTGCCCAAAAAAAAATCACCCAAGCGTTTCGCGTTTCCTGGTGCGCTTTGCGTTTTGCGTTTTATCAGGTGCGTTTAAACACAAAACGCAAGGCTGCCCCTGCGTTTTTCTCCACTTAGGATGAAGCACAACTAGTGGCAAGGCCAGGGGGACATGCTACTGCATCAAAGCACTACACGTAGACCATAGGAAGAGGTGTGCATTACAGGTACTGCAAGGAAGAGAGGCGGCCGTTCCACATAGTGGAGTGCAAGGAGGCGTGCGTTACACGTAGTGCAGGGAAGAGATGCATGTGTTACAGGTAATGCAGTGGAAGGAAGGAAGCAAGTTCTACAGGGATTCAAGGGACGAGAAGAGTGCGTTACAAGTATTCAAGGGAAAAGAGTCGTGTGTTACAGAAATTCAAGGGAATAGGAGCGTGCGTTACAGGGATGTAAGGGACGAGAGGGCGCTGATGCCATGGTGCAGCGGACCAGAGAGGCCAGAATACATGAAGCTCCTGTGGAGGTGTGGGGGGAGGGGAGGGGGTGTGGAGGGAATGCTGGGTGGGATGGTATGGGATGGGATGGTTGAGATGGGCTGGGATGTTATGGCATGGCATGGCATGGCACGGCACGGCATGGGACGGCATGGCATGGCATGGCATGGCATGGCATGGCATGGCATGGTATGGCATGTTGGGAATGAGAATGGCATTGAAATAGGTGGAGGGGGTGGGGAGAGGAGAGGGTGGAGAGAGGAGAGGGTGGAGAGAGGAGAGGGTGGAGAGAGGAGAGGGTGGAGAGAGGAGAGCGAGGAGAGAGAAGAGGGTGGAGAGAGGAGAGGTTGGAGAGAGGAGAGGGTGGAGAGAGGAGAGGGTGGAGAGAGAAGAGGGTGGAGAGAGAAGAGGGTGGAGAGAGAAGAGGGTGGAGAGAGGAGAGGTTGGAGAGAGGAGAGGGTGGAGAGAGGAGAGGGTGGAGAGAGGAGAGGGTGGAGAGAGTAGAGGGTGGAGAGAGTAGAGGGTGGAGAGAGTAGAGGGTGGAGAGAGAAGAGGGTGGAGAGAGGAGAGGTTGGAGAGAGGAGAGGGTGGAGAGAGGAGAGGGTGGAGAGAGGAGAGGGTGGAGAGAGGAGAGGGAGGAGAGAGAAGAGGGTGGAGAGAGGAGAGGTTGGAGAGAGAAGAGGGTGGAGAGAGAAGAGGGTGGAGAGAGAAGAGGGTGGAGAGAGTAGAGGGTGGAGAGAGTAGAGGGTGGAGAGAGTAGAGGGTGGAGAGAGGAGAGGGGTACATACAGGTAGGCGAGGGCGGTGAGGTGGGTGAAGGCTGGTGGGAAGGGCCCGTAAAATTCGTTCATACCCATTACACTGCGAGGACGAGAGCAGGCAGGGGGTATGTTGTTGTTGGAATTTGTTTTTCTTTTAGGACGCAGGCAAAAAAGGGACGGCGCAAGTATGGAGGATGTTGTGGTGATGGTGAACGCGAAAGTGGAGGACGCGGAGGCCGAAGGGGAAGACAGAGGGGAATGTTGTGGTGGTGGTGGAATGTCCCAAGATGTCTGATAGCTGGACGAGACGTAGGGGGGCAGGAGATACGGACGGGAGGGAAGTGAGTGGCAGGTGCGGGTGGCTGGGAGGGAAGGGAAGAGAGTGGTATGGGAGAGAAGGGCAGGAAGGGGCTTGGGAGGGGCAGGTTCCCTGAAAGGAAGATGGACAGTAAAGGAGAGGGCAGGAGGGCATGGGATGGCAGGGAAGAGCAAGAGAGACGGAGAAGCAGTGTGAGTGGGAATGGGGGTGCAGGAAGGGAATGGGGCGAGGGCGAGGGGCTGACAGATACGACAAATTCTGCAGGCGCGAGACGGTGAGTGGAATGGGCCCCGTGAATCTATTGCTATAAAACTCGCTGGGGGGGAAGGGGAGGAGTGGGGGCGGGGTAGGGGGGGGGGGAGACGTTGTAGAGAAAATGCGAACGTGGAAGAGAGGTACATGGTGAGAGGAAGGTGAAGAGGGGGAGTTGGAGAGAGGAAAGAGGAGACGAAAAGAGGAGCAGAAGGGAGAAGGGAAGAGGAGGGCACAGAGGAGGAGGAGGAGGAGGAGGAGGAGGAGGAGGAGGAGGAGGAGGAGGAGGAGGAGGAGGAGGAGGAGGAGGAGGAGGAGGAGGAGGAGAAGAAGAAGAACAGCACGGTGCAGGCAGTGAAAACAAAACAAGGTATGAGACCCACGGCCGGAAGCCGCCCCATGACAAGCAATGCAACAATTGGACGAGCTGAAAGGAGCATCAAGGTTCTGGTGGGTGGTTAGATACAGGTAGATGAGTGATGGCATGCAGGCAAGGACGGTGAAGACAGGGCCTGTGAGGTTGTTTTCACTCAGAATCCTGCATGCATGCATGCATGCACACATGCACACATATAAATGCACACACACATGCACACACACACACATGTACACACACACACACCACACATACACAAACACACACCCACACACACACACACATACACACACACATGCACACACACACACATACACACACACATACACACACACATACTCACATGAACACTTGTACAGATGCGGAGATGCACATCGACAGACGTACGTACGCACAAGCACAAACAGAAACACAGGGTGGTGCCTCCAGTGCGCCTCTCGGTGCGCCTCACAAGGAGGTCAGCAGGCGGAGGGCGGAGAGGGCGGGGGGAACAGTCCTGGACAGTCTGTTGTACTTAAGATTGCTGCCAGCACCGGGGGAGAGGATGGGTGGAAGGGGAAAGGAAGAGGGAAAGAGAAGGAGACATGGTGATGTGATGGTGACGTGATGGTGACGTGGGGAAAGAGCGAGTGACAGACAGGGCAGCTAGGGGCAGGTCGAGGCAATTCACAGGGCCTCATCCGGACATTCGGGGCTCATCATATGCGCGACTCACAGCGTGCGCAGGCGGGAGAGGGAGGTGAGGGCGACGGGGATTGAGCCTTCGAGACCTTCGTCCGCCAGGTGCCTGCGTGGTGAGCAGAGGGGCGGGGGGGGTTGTTGCTGTGAGGGGAGAGGGCATGAAGCGAAGTGAGGGGCGATGGGAAGGTTGTGGAGGTGGGGCAGGAAGCTAGCAAGTGAGCAACGAAGAAGGAACTCCTTGAGGAGACAAGGCATGCATTCCTCACGCGCTTCCCCCCGTGCTCCCGCAAGAGCTCCCCAATGCGCGTTGCCGTCCCCCGGTGCACCCACAGCTCTGTGACCATGCCGTCTTCGTCGCACTTGATCGTCCTCTCCGGAGCGCACTCCGCGAATTGCGCCCACTCCATCCCGCGCGTCCCCCACTCCGCCGCGCACTCCTTCAGCGCCGCCGCTGCGCGCCGATTGCGGGGGAAAAGGAGGGCGGAAAGGCGAGGCGGACAGCAGGGGCACGGGATTTGAGAGGAGGAGCGGGAGAGGGAGCGGGAGAGGGAGCGGGAGAGGGAGCGGGAGAGGGAGCGGGAGAGGGAGAGGGAGAGGAAGAGGAGAGGGAGAGGAGAGGGAGAGGTAGGAGGAGAGGAGAGGAGAGGTAGGAGGAGAGGAGAGGGGGAGGGAGGAGGAGAGGAGAGGGAGAGGCAGGAGGAGAGGAGAGGGAGAAGAGGAGAGGAGAGGGAGAGGTAGGAGGAGAGGAGAGGGAGAGGTAGGAGGAGAGGAGAGGGAGAGGTAGGAGGAGAGGAGAGGGAGAGGTAGGAGGAGTCTAGGTACGCGAGGATGGCGGCTGGAAGACAGGAGGTCCACAAGAGCAAAGTTCGCCATGCGACAGTAAGGCTGCGTTAAACCCAGCTACTAGCGACGCTGTGTTTCGGGTGCGTCCGACCCAAAAAAGTTTGGCCCAAAAAGCCCCCCCCAGGTTACCCACAGCTTACCCACAGCTTTCACTTCGTGTGGTGACCCCTCGGTCACCCACAGGTGGTGACCCGCGGGGGACCCCTCCCATCCGGCGGGAGCGAATCACACGTCGCCCCGCAGCCCGCTTTGAAGGGTTCGAGAAGCTGTGAAGCTCTCACAGAAGTACACCCGCGCTTTCCCAATTTCACGTTCGTACGATCGAAATGACAAATTATCCGAGACCTCGCTTATAGGGTGACTCGGTATGAGTTACAGGCTTTACGGTTTTGAAAATCACCTTTCGATATACGATAGCTATTTTTACATTTACATACAAAATGTAATCCTGCTTTATGAACAAAATGACAGAATTCGTATCATCGCACAGGACAGGTAGCAAATTCAGTTAATTCATTTTTATCTGTTTGCAGCTTTTTCACTTCCGTTAATCACAATTTAATACAACATTGCAGAACAACAATTTTTGCAGATTGGACACTTTTTAACATGCAGACAACGTGCATCCTACACACAGCACATTATAAAAGCTATGATACACACTTGCTGAACTGGTCAGCATTGCAAGGGAACAACAGTAAACAATGCACACTTCCAAACGTGCACATCACGTCCTCCTTGTGGAGAACCCCTATGTATTTTGCTGTGCTGATGCAAAACACCAGAGGGAAACATGAACAAAACAGCAGCAACACAGGCCATGTCCAAGCGACTAATGCAGCTTCCACGTCAAGCAGGATTCGTACCTAACGACTAATGCAGGTTCCACGTACATGCGGCGAGGTGTACTCCTACAGAGTGGTGAAGGGGTTCAAAATCGTAGTCTGCAAACGATCGCGACATTCACACCGAGACACGGAACAAGTGCAACTACTGAGAGTGCAAAATACTATCGTCAGGGTTAGAAATAAGGCGCGCACGGCATATCGTACCTCGCATAAGATCCTGGCGCACGACATGGCGGATCGAGTAGCTCACCGAATATATCCATCACGCCGCACTGCAGTTACTGCGTCAGAATTAAAATCATTACGGATGAAAATCGTTACGGCGTTAAAAATAACGAACTACAAGGGTACGAGCTCTACAACATTGAAGATCCAGAAAAAGAAAACAGCAAATTAGGTACGATCTTGGGCAGGTTGTCGTTCAGCGCAAAACCTTACCACCCTTCATTCTCACCAGCGCTCATAGTGAGAAGCTGGTGGCCGTTCAAGGACGCTGCGGGTAGCTCTCGAAGTAGCTGTTCTAAGTGTGTATCAGGCAGTTGAAAACTAAATCAGAAATGACAGATTGCGGAAGTAGAAGGTGCTGGGAGGGGAGAGGTAGTAGAAGTTGCTTTCGAAGAGCTCCGATTGGTTGGTGAACAATAATGTGCCACGTGACCCAACCCATCACTGTATGGGCGGATATTGAGTGATGCGATAAGAAAAATAATTGGAATAACATATTTCATCCAGCAGGTTGAAAGACGAAGTGTACCTAACCACGTGGGATTGCCGAACGTGGCTGGCTCGGCAGAAAAAGTGAAGCGAGGGACTGATTGGTGCTGAGCCAGCTGGTGGGTATCCTCGGGGTATCCCATCGAACTGACCAGCCTCTTGATTGGACGATTGTTTTCTTACGAATGTGCGCGACGGGCTCTGCGAGAGTTGCTGACGTTGCAGTTGCTCAAGGTATCCTCGGGGGCAGTTGCGGGGAAGTTGTGGGTAACCCCGCGAGGGAGACCTTGGGGTTCCCCTCGATTTCAAAGTGATTTTTGCGCTGGGAATTTTGGGATGTCGCCTGGTGGGTCACTGTTTAAAATCGCTGGCCAATCAAATACTAGTTTCGCACCCCGCTTGCTGACATGTGATTGGTCTATTTCGACCAATCACCAACGCTGACACACGGCAAAATATCCGAATACACGTGGACGCGGTGCGTCCACGTGGCATGTTAACTAGACTGTGACGAGAAGATCACTTCACGCGACACTACGATGTGACATGTGTGACATTTGGTCACACCAATGTGACCTTTTTGTTACATCGTAGGTCACATCGGGGCCGGTACTTTCAACCATGACTAGAAAACGCCGGACTTGCAGTCACATTTCGAACACATTTTTGTGACTTTTGGCACTTGCCATTTTCGCGATGTACTAGGACAGAATCTGGCGCTGCTTAGGCAATCATGCTAAAACGACTTTAAATAACGGCGCCCCGTGCCCTACCATTGGGCCAAAATGGGGGTTAAGGCGCACTGCGGTTGCCTTTTAAAGCTCAAGGCCCAAATTGTTCAACCTTAGTAAGGTTGACCTTTGGGTAGCGTGAGAGGAAGGTTGACTTGTTTGAAGTTGGTGTGTTTAGTTTCGCGCAGCTTCTCGCTACACAGTCAGAATTTTCGCTGACTCAGCAAACCCCAGGAAGCAACTCGGTTCTGGTTCTCGAGTCCCAAATTGCACTCAAAATATTCGTGGTGTTTCCTGCTTTCCGATTCGTCCAAAAATTGATGGCCAATCAAATTGCATCGCACTTCTCGTAACCACAATTCGCAACCAAAACAACACTCAGAAAGCACTCCGATCAACTTTAGTAAGCTTGTCCCGCGCGCTCTGCAATTTGGGCCTTGAGCTTTAACCCTCTGTGTAGCGCACAGGTTATACTAACATCAAATGTTGTGAGAAGGACGACTCGTGTCTCCACTAACGGAGGTTTCGTCACGCGCGTGCCATCACCGGGGCTGAAACGAGGCACTCCTAAGCTTTGCTGCGGTTCGAACCCTAGAAGAGATTCTTCGCGCAGCACACCTTGGGAATCGGCGAGAGTCACGGGCTGGGTGACGACACGCGGCAGGAGAGCGGCGACGAGCGCCGCGAAACACGGAAGGACAGATGCGAAGATCCGCGACCACGAGCGACCCGTTCTTGCAGAGCCCATCGCGGCGACGGAGGCGAGACGGTGCTTCCCAGGCGATCATGGTGGGGCGCTGATAATAGCCAGATGCCGTGAGGCCGTGGTGCAGTGCGGTGGATGGGAAGTGTGCACCAGTTCGTGTGACACACGAAAGTTTGTGGTCGTGCCGAGCTGTAGCTGTTTGTGGGAAATTCGGAATTTCAAAAACTTGACCTGCGTTTCGCAGTTGGCAGGCAACTTGGCAAGAGCAGTCACCTCAGATATTGTCGCGTATCTCCAACCCTACAGTTTCTTTTTAAGCCGCAGTGCAACTATCGGCTCCACTTTAAAAGGTTATTAATTACAGTAACCCCTTTCCCTCTCTCGCGGGTAGCGGGGCGCGAAATTGTCGTTTTGCCCTGTGGTTGAAATTGGGGGGAACAAACAAAGTTCCCCCCAATTTCAACAGTGTGTCGGCGGATACTGTATGTGTACAGGCTGAGTCAGACTGTTTCCAGCAATGCTGACTGGGAATCAAACAAATTAATTGCTCACCGCGACGATTTTCACATTTTGCTCAACCCTGTCTACCACCCTCGCACCGCGTTCCTCACTTTCTGATATCTCTCAATCCCATGGACCGCCACTTGTTTTACACCCGCTATCACGGTATGGTCAATCTGCGTATTTTGGTTTCCAAGTTTAGGGTCCCTTTGATTCCTAGCTTTAGGGTGAGAACGAATCTGACGCAATCCAGATGCAATGTTTTGCGCATGTTTCTACAATTTCATTATGCAAAGGTCGTGTTATCGTAGAATCATATTCAATTAAAAAATCCAACTCAATTGTCACAACTAGTAAAAAATATATGCGATTCCGGATTTCGCGAAGCGAAATCCGAATGGTCGACTCTCGATTTTGCATTTTCTGACGTCACCAGAAGATATGATATCATGTTTTACCGATTTGTACACGCGATTTTGTTTCGCACCAAGAGTTTACAAACAAAATAATGCTAGATCAGCTGTACTGTTGTCGCAGGTGACGGACGCTGTGCGTGGAAAATCAGCAAACATCTACTCGGCGTTCGCATATTAGTAACGGGTAATCCGAACACAAAAACAAATCTGCCCGAATGTTGAAGTTCACCACTATATATATTTAGTGTATAAACGGCACATGTATTTATTATTCTAGATAGCATGGCGTTAATCACTTATCATTAAATATGAGCAACCCAGCAGAGCGTGCGAGCAACGCAGCTGAGCGTCCGAACAACGCATCTGAGGGTGCGAGCAACACAGCTAAGTGGGCGAGCAACGCAGCTGAGGGTGCGAGCAACGCAGCTAAGCACGCAGCAGAGGGTGCGAGTAACGCAGCAGAGTGTGCGAGCAACGCATCTGAGGGTGCTAGCAACGCAGTTGAGGGTGCGAGCATCGTAGCTGCGTGTGCGAGCATCACTTCTGAGTGTGTGAGCAACGCAGCAGAGTGAGCGGGCAACGCAGCTGAGCGTGCGAGGAACGCAGCAGAGCATGCGAGCAACGCAGCTGAGCGTGCGAGCAACGCGACAGAGCATGCGAGCAACGCAGCAGAGCATGCGAGCAACAAAGGTGGGCGTGCGAACAACGCAGCTGATGTTGCGAGCAACGCAGCTGAGTGTGCGAGCAACGCATCTGAGGGTGCAAGCAACGCAGCTAAGGGTGCGAGCAAAGCACCTGAGTGTGCAAGCAACGCAGCTGAGCGTGCGAGCAACGCAGCTGAGGGTGCGAGCAAGGCAGCTAAGCATGCGAGCAACACAGCTGAGGGTGCAAGCAACGTAGCTGAGTGTGCGAGCAACGCAGCTGAGGGTGCGAGCATCACTTCTGAGTGCGCGAGCAACGCAGCAGAGCGTGCGAGCAAGGCAGCTGAGCGTGCGAGCAACGCAGCAGAGCATGCGAGCAACGCAGCTGAGCGTGCGAGCAACGCAGCTGAGGGTGAGAGCATCGCAGCTGAGTGTGCGAGGAACGCAGCTGAGGGTGCGAGCAACGCAGCTGAGGGTACGAGCAACGCAACTGAGTGTGCGAGCAACGCAGCTGAGCGTGCGAGCAACACAGCTGAGGGTGCGAACAACGCAGCTGAGCATGCGAGCAACGCAGCTGAGGGTGCGTGCAACGTAGCTGAGGGTGCGAGCAACGCAGCTGAGTGTGCGAGCAACGCAGCTGAGGGTGCGAGCAGC